AATGTAATCCTTGAAATCCAACAAATACTCACTCTTGCCAATAAGTGATACTTTGGACTGAGTAGGCAATTGGGAAGTAAAGTCCCCTTTCGTCGTACAAAAATCACACTCTATAACTCATTTATCATGCCATGTTGCGCAGAAGCATGGAATTTGAAAACATCTGATGCGGCGGCTTTTGATGTTTTCGAGAGACATCGTGCATCGAATTGGAATCCAACGGCTATGCTGGCTAGGTCATGCCTTTCGAATGGACATAAGCGCTACGCCTCTGAAAGTGCTCAACGCCGGTCGCGATGCTAGTAACAGAGGAAGGTCTCCTCTGCGTTGGAAGGATCAGGTCGAGGAGGACTTGACTTCACTTGGCATGTCCAATTGACCGATAAAATTGCGTTAATACGTTGGGTATATCCCCAATTCAATCTGATACGCATACATAAAAAACTCTCTTATATTTTATTACTACCAGATGCATTATTTACATATCGTCGTTTAAAGTACAAAACCGCATATCGTCATTCTGCAAAACCGCGTAACTGACATTGGCTGCCAAAAATTGGATTTGCTCGCACAAGCTCTTGGCTCAATCCTCATCCATTCGTCCTGAAATATACAAGCCAGAAATGCGATTGCATTATAAAACAGAGAACCATTTAGAAATATGAGTGTTTTTACGCTCTAGGAAATAATTTCTACAACTTTACATATGCGGTTTTACATTTTGCTGATACGCGGTTTTGCATTTTGTTGATATGCGGTTTTGCACTTTAAACGACGCTATGTATGTAGCTCAAAACCGTTTTCTTCGTCTAAAAGCCAAGTTCGGGAGTATTTCACAATTATTGTGGAAGCAAGTTGGGAATATTTTTGGACCATCCGAGATTAGTTCACGACTAATTCAGAAGCATATCGGGTCTACTTCGGGTTCATTCAGATCTAGTTCAGGACGATTTTGGGTAGGGTTAAAGGCTATTTCGGGATAGTTTACGACCAGGATCGTTTCGAGACTTGTTCTAAATATTTTCAAAAGAAGTTTCGACTTTTTCAGAACTACTTCAGGACAAAATCGGGACTATGTCGGGGTAGTTCGAAACTGAAATTAATGTTTAAGTCGCCGAATGCTTTGCCAAGTCGTCAGCACTCCTAAATAAATGTATGTGAATATCCGGTATACCCTCGCAAAATATTTGGCGGCTTTCGGTTATTCTTCTATATGTTATTTTCTACCGTTAATTTTTAGCTGCTCCTCTATTATCAATGCCAGTTAAGCAGCTTAACTTTCTTTCAAAGCTCTAATATTTTTCTCGAACAAGTTCACCAACACAGATTATAGCAATATCATCTAATTGAAATAAATACTTTCGCCCTAGCAATAGACTCACCTTTTCGAACGCTCAATGCATTTGATGGAGTCAAAGAGTGGATGCTGCACTACGCGCCTTCCAAAATCAAGGCAGTAGTTCGTGTAATCGATGGAACTACGATTACGATGCGGTAAATTGAACACAATTATGCAGTACCTGGATGCACAAATGCATCCCCGAATAATACAGTTATGTGATAGCAGCGGCAGGCACACATCCAAATGCAGTCCGGCAAATTGCAGCAATACAATCAGCATATTGAGAGCAACATTATGACAGCAACAAGCCACAGAAACCGCCATCAAAATTAATGCAGCGGACAAACACCAATGAATAAGAGCATGAAAAGATGCGTATTGAATTCGATGCCGTAGAACGCGGTGCAGGATTTGCGGTTCACATTCATTTGTGTTGTTGTTAATGTAGCAAATGAAATGAAAGAGAAAACCAAAAGCAGATAGTTACATACAATGCGCATACATATAGTATATGTAGATAAATACATAGTTTGCATAATAAAAGCGAGGTGAGTGAAAAGCCGGCAGTGTTCTACAAAGGGGAGCCTCATTGCAGAACAATTAATGTTGGCCGGCTAAGGTTAATTAAGCAAAGGCACTATATCAGCACAGTTGCATTTTCAACACCAGCAAGGCAAGCCCTGCCGAATACCAAGATATGACTGGCTGTAAGTTATGCTTTCCTATGTACATATCGTCACCTGAAATGCAAAATAACTTAACAACATCGCCACTGAAATGAAAAAAAGTCGTGACTATAAATTTTTCATAAAACGATGTGGGGAGTTGTAATTTGACGAAATCCATCATAGCAATCAAAAAGTGAATTTGGAATTTTTTATAAGTGACGACTTTTTGCATTTCAGTGGCGATGTTGTTACGTTATTTTGCATTTCAGGTGACGATATGTATGCATATGTATTAGACTGCATCACAAAAAAAAGTATTATATTTTTAGACTTCTACCAAAATAATTCGGAAAAATATTAAGATTTACGTAAGCTGGATCGATTTGAAAACACCTCCAAAAATGGAATTTTTTTAATGAATAAAAATTGTTTCTTAAAGGATTTTTTTGAAAAACTCCCCTCAAATGACAAAAAACACTGATACCTCGTACGTCTACATAGGTTTAGTTTTATTATGATTCCATTGAACAGTTTTTTTAATATTTTGATGCAGATTTTTTAAGCTCTAGCTGCTTTGTTATCTGATGAGATCTTTTGCATAAAATCCTTTAAGAACCTATATTTATTCATTAAAAAACTCCATATTTGGGGGTATATTCAAATTGATCCAGCTCACGCAAATCTTAATATTTTTCCGAAATATTTTGGTGCAAGTCTTAAAATACATATAAACCATTTTATAATTCCAGAGAAAAAATAGTACTGAGTTTTTTTGTGGGTAGTGATGCAGTCTAATGTATATTCATATACAACTTACATACATATGTAAAGTACATATGTATTTATGTATGCATGTAGGTGTACTCGCCTCTCTGTTCGATTGTCTGGCGAACTGTACCATGCAATGGTGGCCAAGGAGCACCGGTTTTGTACTTCGAAGACTGTTATATTCTCTGGTAGTTCTGGTAGGTGTTGGAAGATGCCGGTTGTAGTCACGGCCATCTGCAAGTATTCGAGAAAAGCATTACTTTAACATGAATGTGGCACACACATACATACATACACATGTACTTAAGTTCAGACTCAGTTTTTGCACTAATGGGGTGAGCTCAAGCTCAAGCTGAAAATCGAGTCGGAACTTAAGCTCTGTTTTTATGCATGAGGCCCATTGCCATGATGAGTACTTACTCCCACTTTGTTGGCACGTATCGTCTCGTCTTCACTGCTGGGAGTGAATCGCACTATGTACCGCTGTCCTTCCTGGACTTCAGAAAGCCGAATGTAGGTGGGCCGATATATGCCTGAAACGTTGCCGATAACTCGGCGTTGCCGGAGTATTTTTGCATCGATTTCGCTGCCGCCACATGGTACAATGAGATACCTCAGCTGTAGTGCTCTTGATGGTAAAGCTGAGGTGCGAAAATGTTTGTAGAAAGCAGGAATGCCTCCAAATGGAATCTGAGTACATAGATATATGAAGAAGTGTACTTATAAAATGATCTATGTATGTATCTTCAGAATTTCTAAAGAAGCGTGTAAGCTTAGTTAATCTAAAATGTGCTGATATTATTTTGCAACCTGTTTTCATTGTACATCATTAGGGTTCGAACGATACTATCGATATTGAGTAAGTATCGATACTGAGGGTATAAAAATTAGTACTTTAATATTCGATACCTTATTTGGTGATTTTACTCGAAACTTTGCAAAGTACTCGTAGTATCGAATACTTTTTAAAACGCACACTTTTTAAATTTTTTCTTCCATTGCTTTCTTTGCTTATATGGATTACTATCATTCAATTTTGTCTATCACTTAAAATAAACTGAAATTGCGTGTATTCTGTTGCATAACATAAACCAAATAAGTGAAAGTTTAGTGGCCTTATTCATAAAAAATAAAGTAGGTTTAAAGAGCTTAATAAAATGACATTTTCATAAATTTTTCAGTTTATAAACCTTTTTTATTTTTGATGAATAAGGCCATAAAACTTTACGCAAAGTTCACGAAAATGCTGATTTTTTAGAAATTTTTTGGGAATGCAGTTTTGTAACCTATTCAAATTTACGTATAGCCTACTACCGTTGACTTTTAATTCAAACTTGCACATTATTATACTAAAATTGAATAGGCTATAAAAATGCATACTAAAACTTTACAAAAATTTCTTAATAAAACTTGAAATTCGTGAAAGTACATTTAACGTTAAAATTGCTTCTAACGTGAAAGTAAGTTCTGCAATGAAATAAAAATCAAATATTTTAAATTTCTATTGTTTTAATTTCAGGAAATAACTAGATATACGATTGAAGAATAAAATAATTTTAGTATCCCAAAAAACGTATTTTAATGAGTCCGATACTGAGTAGTATCGATATTTTTTCCCTGATACTTTTAGAGTATCGATACCATGAGCTCGATGCCAGAACGAGTACTCAGTATCGATACCAAATTCTGAAATTTCGAACCCTATACATCATTTAACACCCCTACAACAACAACATTTCTTATTAGGATTTTGATACGAATCGTAGAAATGGTATGCTGCAACCCGAATAGTATCTTCGAACTTTCGAAATTCGTAACAATGGCGAACGAGTAATTTACAGCTTTTTTGCGTAATTTTGTACGAAAATATTTCTGTGTCGGAAGCGGGATAAAAATTAAGCAAAAGATGTAAATCGATGTGTGTTTACAGGAAATATTACTGGTGTTCATTTAAACAATAGAATATCGAGAAACTTAGGTACGGTTTAGTAATTACATAGTACAATTATTTTGGTTTTTTTTTAGCCAAATGCATCACCCGAATCTAAAAACTTTAACATGCACGTGTAGTCAAAGGATTCAACTTTAATTTAAAACAAAGGTTCCAAATTTCCAGGCTCTAGTTTATTAATTAATTCGGTTTTAGCCATGCACTTTTTTTGTAAAATCGATGAATGTTCTGCGCAAACATACAGTGGATGGAGTTGCCGGAGTTATATGCACAATAAATGTTGTACAGTGAAACCTCTCCTAACGGACACCTCTATTAGACGGACATCTCCCTTGGGCGGACATTTTTTCCTATACCAAGTTTTAAGTATAAATTTCGGAACAAATTACATTCTCTTAAGCGGACACTCTCTTGGCCGGACGCGGATAGTAATTTTGTACAAAATTGGCACAAAAAACTCTATTGAGCGGACGCGAACCTCTTATCAACGGACATTAAGATTTCTTTTCATAACAAATCAAACAAAAACCTCCGTTGAGCGGACGCGAACTCCTCATAGGCGGACAACTAAATGAAAAAAGGGGACTTCCCGCATAAAATGTGATTGTTATGCACACATTTAGTTTGGTTTGCGCAGTGGTTTAGGTTCGTTATTTGAATTATCAGAAACCCTTGGAGAATCCAATTCCAATTCTGATGAATTTATAACAATAGATAATAACAAATACATGGACTGAAGATTTAGATTTCTGGTTGGATTTTGTTACTGATAAAAACATGAAAACTATTGATGAAAAAGGTACTGACACTGAAAAAAATTAAAAATAAAACTTACGTCAATCGACAATTCCCCAGTTTTTTATGTAATGAATCCATGGTTTTATGTAGTTTATGGACTGAAATGTAATATGTATTTATTTTTATTTTGTTATTACTTAATATGTACATACGCTCATAGATGAAATATGCACTTTTGAAAAAATACATACACATTTTTGTTTGAACGATGTAATATCAATATCTTTTATTAAAATAAGAAATAGTGACTATTAAATTAATTAAAACATTAAAAAGTTCTAAAATAAGCTTCCCTTCCATTGAGCGGACACCTCTCTTGGGCGGACAAAAAATGACCGACGGTGAGTGTCCGCCCAAGGGAGGTTTCACTGTATACCTTTCACACACAGAAGAGATATTTCTCATTAGTAAGCGCGGCCGAAGGCATTAACTGGATTGAAAACTAGTTATTAAGGCATAGGAGGAGTTATAGCTTGCGGCTCAACAATTCAACCAGAAGATGACTTAGATGCAGCTTTCCGCAAGGGTTTCAGCATGTCGATTTTTCGTTTTTCGTAACGTATTACGAATTACGAAAATTCCGGTTCTAGAATAAGGGTGCAAATATCGTTACTTCCAATTAGAGCCTTCGATTTCCCGAGATTGCAAGCAATTTCTCGCGAGGATCGCTTTCTCACGAGATTTTCGTGTATCGAAAAACTCGTTATACCCGCGAGCTCCTCGATGATCAATTTAAGGCAGCGTATTTAATTTAGGGTATTTAAACCCTGAACTATTGAATTTCTTTCAAGCGGAATACTTGTCGCTCTCCAGAGTATTAACCAGAGTGTCCGGATTTGGCGATTTCGCGCCAATTTGGCGATTTTTTTTGGATATTTTCGCGTAAAAATTTAGGAAATCCCCATTGGCGATTTTTGGCCATTTTTTCCCCTTCAAATAAATTTTTCCGAATTATAAAAATATACAAAACTTAGTTTTCCACGATAATTTTACAGAAGAGGCTAATAAACTGCGTGATAAACTTGACTTAACAATCATATTAAAAGACTGTCAAAAATTTTTGATCACCCTAATCGAAGAACTTTTGAAACGATTACCTAGTCAATTAAATACTTTTAAAAAAGCTTTGATTTTGTCACCAGAAGAGTGTGTGACTCACAAGATGGCGAGTTTCAGGGACCTGCCAATTCACTAGTTGACTTTGAAGGAAAGAAAAGAAGCGGAAACTGAATATTTAAATCTTTTAAGTTTCCCATAGAATAACTTTCTGCAGAACCATTCCATCCGTCTCTGGAGAAATTTGGATAATTGCTTACGGAGTGAAAACCGCAAAGGCAATAAAATATTTGGAAATGTAAGTAAATTCATATTATTATCCTTGCCGCACTCACATGCTTTGTTGAGCGCGTTTTTTGCGTAATGAATTCAACAAAAACTAAGATTCGAAATAGGATGATGTTAATTCAATAGTTCGAATAAAGTGTATGTACATTATTATTTTTCGATAACATTGTTGTTTCTTGTTGTTATTTAAATAAAGATTCGCCCCTGAAGATGCTAAGGTGATTAGCGAAACGTTGGGCAAAACGTGAAGAAAAAAGTAATTTTTCTTGCACACAAACGCAATCGATCGACTAGCCTACAACAACAACAATAATTAATATTAAATTCGATCAACAGCTTACTTAAAAGTTTTTTTTTTATTTTGTTTATTTTTCTACTTCGACAAGACTAAATTGTCTGTACAAAATTTTGCAATAGATAATAAAATAATTCAACTTGCAGTGAAAGAGAACAGAAGACTATGCAAGCACAATTTTGTTTGCTCACATTTAGTATAAACATACATATGTATGTATATACATACATATATCAGCAGTTTATTTCATTTAAGGGAATGGCGTGTCGTCCATTTCCGCTGTGACGTATATAAATAGTGCACACATTTGGGCGCAATATTTAACTTCTTCTGGCGGGGCGACATCTAGAGTCTTCTAATTGTATCTCCTTGATACGAAGCCTACAACGAGGTTGATATATAAACTAGGTTTTCCATAAATACCTTTGCTATATTTTAAGTATAAAATGGTGGTCTGGACATACAACATTGCAAGTTGATAAAGGCTTTGTAAAAATATGTTTGCTTCTCTTGTAAAACTTAAAATTTTTCAAATGTGGCCTTTTGCACATTCTTGAGCATTTCGATACCCGGGAATTCGAGTAATCTAGGGTATCGCCATTCTCACGGGTAAAGTCGAGTAGTTATCGAGACATACGTATGCAAGAGCATATCGAACGTAATAAAAACAAAATCAGAAAAAAATGTCTGTGTAAATGTTAGATATTATATTGTAAAAAAAACGTTTATGCGAATAAGAAGAATTTAGTTCGATGTACTTACATATATGCTGTGTATGTATGTATGAGTATTATTTGCGTTTGATGGCTCCAGCAAAGAGAGTAAAAGTAATAAATGGAGAGGAAAGTGCGGACCTCGCTGGAAAGGAGCGTGCAGATGGTTGATACCAGAGTGTCCAGACTGTTTATAAAAAAACGCAATTTCTGAAAAAAAAATCGCCAAAAATCGAAATTTTTTTTTTTAATAAAATTAATGAAATCGGTTTAACAAATCTTTTATTTTAAAAATGAGATTTTGTTATAAAAAAGTTTTTAAAACCAAAAACGAATATAATACCTTTAACCCTTAATTAGGCGACTGGGGTCAAGGTCATTTCAAGTTGAAAAAAATGTCTTGGAGTGCTTGGAGTGTGCTCGCGCTCTGTATAGCTTCCTAACTCCCCGCGGGCTACGTAAATAAGTCACGGCCAGAACATCGGCGTGTACACATTTGTCGCTACTCTTTTGAGCTCTGACCCTATGCGACCACTTATGTAACATTTTTTAGTTTTTGTTTTTGTATCTAAGTTGGAAGTCAAAGTTA